TGATTGTACAGGACGAACTATGTTCGTACGGGACGATCAGATTAGTTATACACCTCCAGGAGAAAATGGAACGAACAGAGGGTGAGTAAAAATTTTTTCTAAGTACTGTTCGTCCAGAAGAATAGTCCCATTCATCCCTGGACGATCTCCTCTAGATTTTCAGTTTGAACTGTTCGCCCAGACGAATAGTACCCTTCATCCCTGAACGATCTCCTCTGGATTTTCAGTTTGAACTGTTCGTCCAGACGAATAGTCCCATTCATTCCTGGACGATCTCGTCTAGATTTTTCAGTTTATTCTGTTCGTCCAGACGAATCGACACCTTCGTCCCTAAACGATGTTCTCTGTTTGAACTTGTGATTCCTCCTATTTTTTCGTCCCAACAAACCTTTGAAATATCTGTTCGTACTGGATTAACTATGTTCGTACGGGATGATGATCGGGTACGAAGAAATTTTGTATCAATGCACATCGAGTTCATACGCAACAATTTTTACATTGTTCGTACGTATGAAATTCGATCGTACGGGACGATCGAGTACGTACTTAATTGAAATTTTATAGTTTTTGGATGATTTTTCGTGTCTTTCTTATAAAAGGTTCACTTAAAACTATCTTGAAATCTTTTTATCCATTGGTCTTCGTGCAAACTGAAGGGAGATTGAAGGAGAGAATGAAAGAGAGTGTTTGAAGGAGAGTTCTTACTGCTGGAGGGTGAGGGGTTCACTTGGTATTCAAAGATAAGAATCTCTATTTGTGAATTGTGATCACTTCACTCTTTTCTCTCGCCCTTCTAGATTTCTCGTGAGAAGATCTTTCAAGAAGATCCGGTTCTCAGTCCACACTTGGAGAAGTGTGAAAGGACGAAGGATTTTCTACCTACACTTGGAGAGTGTGAACATTGGAAGGTTCTCTGCTTACACTTGGAGAGTGTGAACAACGGAAGATTCTCTGCCTACACTTGGAGAGTGAACCGCGAAAGGTTCTTTGCCTACACTTGGAGAGTGTGAACAGCGGAAGGTACTCTGTCTACACTTGGAGGGTATAAAAGGACGACGGTTCTCTACCACACCGGGTAGTGGTAGAAGAGAATTTTTGTGAAGGCTTCTCCATCCTGCTGTGGGGCCAAAAGGAGAGGCACTAAGTAATAATAGTGCAATACCTCAAGTGGAAGACTTCAGGGAGTGGATGTAGGTCGTGTTTGACCAAACCACTATAAATCTTGCACTACGGGAAAACTCGCGATTGCCGTCGGATTTTCCGGCGGAAAATTATGGCCGGTAATAAACGGTGCAAGCACCGGCGAAATTGTTCGACGAAAAGTTTGCGTCAACATTTCCGGTGAAAAATACGCTGTAAATTTACCGACGCCGGTTACGCCGGCCAATCCGACGGTATAGGGATGTCTGAACCATCGTCTTTGTTCTGTCGGAACTTACCGTCGCATGTACCGGCGCACAGTCCTCCGGTAATTACCGGCGTATACTTTGCGTCGCAAGCGAGTTCGTGGGGTTTCTACGCACACTTTGCGGCGTTTTATCCGCGGGTAACGGCCGGCGCATAATGCGTCGCTAATTACCGGCGCATATGGCGTCGGAATTAAGATGTTTTTTAACGTCGATAACGATCCATTTTTTCGCCGGTAATTCGTCGGAAACTGCGCCGGAGATATTTTCGGCGCAAGATTTGCGCCGGAAATAATTTATCGACGCGACCAAAACCGGCGTATGAATTTCCGTCGAAACGTGCGCCGGAAACTCATAGTTCCGTCGGAATATCTATGTTTTCAGGCGGATTTAGTCCGCCGGTAATATGGGGTTTTCCTGTAGTGTTGTGTCTTTTTATTTTTCGTTGTTTTTTACTTTATTGTTTTCTATTGATCTGTGGTTGAAAAATCTTTTTCAGGAAATTTCACTATAAGTTTTTTTATCGGTTTAAAATATAAGAGAGAAAATTTTAAATTGCCAATTCCCCCCCCCCCCCCCCTTCTTGGTTAGCTGCTGGGACATTAGCTTAGATCTAACAACCTAATTCATACTTTACAAGTTTCAACAGTAAAGTCAAATTTTAATCCTTCCTTCTATAGAAGTCCGACGTCAGTTGGCGGCTGGGGAGAACTCCGGCGTTGGATGGTATTCGGGCAAAACTCCAGAGTCACTTGGAAATCGGACAGAACTCCGGCGTCACTTGGAGGTCAGGCGGAATTCCGGCGTCACTTGGAGTTTGGGTGAAACTCCAGTGTCACTTAAACGTCAGGTAGAATTCTGGCGTTGCTTGAATGTCGGGCAGAACTCCGACGTTGCTTGAACATCAGGTAGAACTCTTGTGTCTAACAGAATTCTGGCGTCAGGCAGAATTTCGGCGGCGGTGGTCGAGGAGGAGTTTCTTCCCTCCTATCATTCTCTTCTTCTTCTTCTTCTTCTTCTTCTTCTTCTTCTTCTTGCTTGCTCCCCTCACAACAGAAATGAGGGGTCTATTTATAGATATTTTGGAGTGGCATGGCCTGTAAATAGGAGGATCAAGGGAAAATATGGAGTGGTTCGATGGACGGCCGATATTGAATACCTTGATTGTGAACCGTTTGTCAGACATTTGAAGGTTTTAATGATATCAGAATTCTACGATCTTGGGCTTCTTGGATTCATCTCGTCGAGCCACTTGACTCGACTATAAGCTCGTCATGTTTAGAAATCATTTGGTAACTCAAATTGCGATTCAAACATTTCGAATGTGCTTCAGGTCTTCGATTTGGACCCATTTGAGCTCGGATTGAGTCAAATTTGGTGTCGTTGGGTTTGTATTTCTGAGACGCTCAATTTGACTGTAAGTTTGCTGAAATTGAGTTCAAGTGATCCTGGATTTAATTTTTGAAGCTTTCGGCTTGATTTTTCCTTGAGATTCATGCCCGGTCAAGATAATTTTTGATTGATTTAGATTTGTTGGAGACATGTTATCTTGTACATAAAGGTGGACCAATGGGCTTTCATTTAAATAAAGGTTTATGATGTAATCATAAAAGGTATGAAGGGATGCATAAGAATATTAACTAATATGATATGATTGATGGGGAGTGAAGACTCCAACTTGAAGCCACGTGAATTATGATTAATGAGTTTGATAAGAAAATTCCTATTTGGTTTGACCGAATGACTGGTGAGATAAATTCTTATGTGGTATGATATACCAACATGACTTGATTTAACAAAATTATATGAGCTATATGTTCTGACTTGTATAGTATCATTGATATGTAAATGATATGATTTCATATGATTAGACATAACATTTCATAAGACTTGCATAAATTATATGAAATGGTATGATACATGAACAGTGTACGTTATGAGATTAATAATGGAACATGATACATAATATTGATAAATTATACTAAAACATGATAACAATACATAATATTGATATATGATATACATGATATAAATGATATGTATGATACTAACACATGCTATAAATGATACATGATACACATGCACTAATATGATATGACATGTATAGTAATAAATATAATGATATGTTTGACATGGCAAAGAGATGGCAATTATTATATTAACCAACACTGATAATTGGCACAAATGTATTGATTCATGTGATAGCATTTTATATGGCATTTCACATGATGCATTAGAATAGGACTAAGTCTAGGATTAAAGAGACTGATATGATTTATTAATTTCTATTATGGTATATACTTGAATAGTATAAATGATACTGATAGAAATGCATATAGAGATTATTATTTAAGCATATGTTTTTATTCATATTGGTATGCTATTTTTCCTATAGATTGATATTGTTTATACTAGATATTGCATGTTCATACATATCTAATCTAAATGATTACATGCATATTTTTTCTACTTTCATGCATTGATTAATGTTGTAGGTTCTATTGACCTATTGGGTTGTTAGCTTATTATGTAGTTTACATGTTTCTGGGTAAGGTATGGACTCAGTGGAGTGAGGACTAATCCAAATTTGCTTGTATAGATATTTTAATATTTGTTGCTCATTTTTGTAGTCATGAATGTTATGGGATAAATCGATGTGAGTAATAGTATTCGTGACTATTGTATATGATTCTTTTGGGACTTGAAATATACATATATTGATGATAAATGAAAGGCTATTTTGATTTATTATTTGTGTATATGGATGTTATTAGTGGATTTATGTTTGAAATTAGAAAATTAAAAAATAATTTTTTTTCAAATTAAATTTTGGGGTGTCACACATTCTTCTCGGTGAACTCCTCCATAGGACTCACCTAAACCAAGCCATGCCCAGAGGATTAATCGCTACCAACAGAACTCGCTCTCTTGCAATATATGTCCACAATTAAGACCACTCATCTATCATAAACACCCTAGATTATTTTACAGGAAGTGCACACCTTAGAAGTATATGATCATGACTTCATTAATTAGACTTATCCCTGATTCACAACCACTTGTGCCCATGGGAATTGCCTTTCACTCTCTGGGCTCATCTCTCTTCCTTAATGACTTGCTTGCTGTTCTTAGGAACTTGCCCTTAGTTTTATAGTCCTCACCCACCAACAAATTGTTAGTAAAATCTGATGGTATTCAAACAAATTAGAATTTGACAAATGTAATCATATAGTCCCACTAATGAAGAACCAACCATCTTATTTTCATCGAAGATGCAAATGTTATTACGATAAATAGTGTTCAAGGCTAAGGCTTGTATTCACGTGCATATATTATATCCAATTAAGTTAAAACATGATAGTGGTATATGAAGTTGCAATCAAAATTTAAAAATAAAAATAAAAAATTCGACAAATCTTTAGTTTCAAAATGCAGCATTTACTAGATAAACAGTTAAATTCCTTTAAAAAAAAATCCAATAATTTATATTTATTAATATAATAAAAAAATATTATTTGTATTTATTAACATAATAATAATAGTATAAAATAAATATCGATGCTATCCTCTCAACGATATTATATTAGTAGACCGCTGATCCTTCCTCCGGAAGGAACTCAAAAAAGCCGGCGGACGCAAGTTTATATACTATTTATGTCAACCCTACTAAAATCCTAGTTGGCCAAGCGCGCGCTCTCTTCCGTATCTTCCTCTTCTTCACTTTTCTCCTGCAAGGTGAGGGGTCAAGGTGAGGGCGTCTTCGGCAAGCGAGGCATCGGCGAGGTTACTAATGTGGTTTCATCAACGTGGGCCGCTCCTGCCAGGTTAGATCACGGCTATTTGAAATCGAAACCTTGCGCCTCTTGCTTTTGGGCTGCTATGGATTTAGACCCCGATGGCATCTTCCGTGACGACTCCGGCTCTGAAGATGACTTACTCCGTGAGAAGGAGTCCACCAAGGATTTCTCTGTCTACCTTGTTGACGCATCTCCCAAGATGTTTGGCACGGTCGCAACAAATGAAGTAGATGAAATGGGGGAAACTTTTTTTCATGCTGCCGTCAAGTGCATCTCTGAATCTCTCAAGGCTCAAATTATTGGTAGATCGTCGGACGAAATTGCGATTTGTTTCTTCAATACTAGGGAGAAGAAAAATACTCAGGATCTTCATGGCGTTTATGTCTTCAATGTTGCGGAAAGAGAACTTCTTGATAGACCTACTGCAAGGTTAATCAAAGAATTCAGTGGCATTGAGAATAGTTTCATACATCATATCGGTAGTCGGTATTGGATCGAGCCTGCATCAAGGGAGAACTCCTTGTACAATGCTCTTTGGGTTGCTCAGGCGCTGCTGAGGAAAGGATCTGTAAAGAATGTGAGCAAAAGAATACTCATTTTCACAAATGAAGATAATCCTTTTAGAAGCATTTCTGGAGCAGCAAAGGCTGACATGATCAGGACTTCACTGCAACGTGCAAAGGATGCTCAAGAACTTGGTATCTCAATCGAGCTTCTTCCATTGAGCAGCAAAGAATTTGATGTTTCAATCTTCTATGCTGATTTGCTTGGACTGGAAGGTGGAGAGATGCCTCTATTTCTGACATCCGCTGATGAAAAATTAGAAGATATGGCCAATCAGCTGCAAAAAAGGATATTTTCGAAGAGGAAGGTTAAAACAATCATGTTTGTGATAGCAAGTGGTGTTAGCATTGAAGTGAATGCATATGCATTAATAAGGCCTTCCGTGCCTGGGGCTATTATGTGGCTGGATTCAGTCACTAATCTCCCCTTGAAGATGGAGAGAACATTCGTTTGCGCTGACACTGGTGCTTTGGTTGAGCAGCCACGCATGCATTTTCAGGAATTTAACGGTGAAATGGTAAAGTTTACCGTGGAAGAGTTGGCAGAAATAAAGAAGGTTTCAGATGGCCATCTTCATCTTCTAGGTTTCAAGCCATTAGATTGCCTAAAGGATTATCACAATCTGAGGCCATCTACATTTATATATCCTACTGACGAGGAGATAATTGGAAGCACTTGTGCTTTCGTTGCATTACATAGATCCATGGTGCGGCTTCAGCGGTTTGCAGTTGCATTTTATGGAAGTTCTACTCACCCACAGCTGGTTGCTCTTGTGGCACAGGATGAAATAATCAGCTCATCTGGTCAGCTAGAGCCCCCTGGAATGCACATGATTTATCTCCCATATTCTGATGATATTAGATATCCAGAAGAGCTCCAGATATATGCCGGCACACCTCGTGCAACAGATGATCAAATCAAGAAAGCTTCTGCTTTGTTAAGGAGAATAGATTTGAAGGACTTTTCAGTTTGTCAATTTTCAAATCCTGCCCTGCAGAGACACTATGGAATACTGCAGGCCTTAGCATTGGGCGAAGATGAGATGCCCAATGTCAAGGATGAAACGTTGCCTGATGAAGAAGGCATGGCCAAGCCAGGAGTAGTGCGTGCGATAGAAGAGTTTAAATTTGCTGTCTATGGTGAAAACCATGATCAAGAAGAAGCTGCAAAGAAGGGTTCAACTACTGAAGCTTCCAAGAAGCGAAAAGCAATCTACGAAGTCGCGTTAAAGGAATCTGCAAGTTATGATTGGGCTGATATTGCTGAGCATGGAAAACTTAAGGATTTGACTGTAATTGAGCTGAAGAACTACCTTACAGTTCACGGCCTACCCGTCACCGGAAAGAAGGAAGTTTTAATAAGCAGGATATTAACCCATTTGGGCAAGTAATTTTGTCTGAGCTCTCTCTATCATGATATGCAGTTCTTACTAAGTATTGGTGGTGAAAGCTATGATTCCCTTGATGCATATAATTTCTTGTATTTTGTCCTGTGAACATTTCCACTACTTTTTAAAAACTTCTAGCCTGCTCATGTAAAATATTTTGTGGGTGGTGACTTACTACTTCAATGCCACTTTTCTACTACTTAAAATGAGGTATTTTGAATGTGCCATAAGTTTATAATTCCCGTTGAATGAAAGGATGTGTATGTTTTGTCATGATGATGGCATTCTATCTATGCTGTAATTTTATTGTTAACTACTATATTTTGCTCTGATTTAAAGCTAGTGTTTGCAACACATTTCGCCTGTAATTATGAGAGAAATGATGCTCTTGTGGTATATGAAACTTATCCTCTTACGTCTTGTATCGTTAAGATTTAATTCAGCAATTATTATAAGAGTGGCACATTGGTAGCTATTTTTATTGTTCCTCTTTTCTTTCTTTCTTTCTTTTCATTTTTGGATCAGGTTTATGTTATCACATCGAAGAATCATATCATAAAGATAATTTGTTATTATAATCCTCATTGTTGGATTCAATTTGCCTATAGGTGACCACGACATTACTAGTAGGCAAGTTTAAGAGCTTATGATTGAAGAGTTTGTGTGAGATTGGAAAGAGAATGGGCAAATCTTATAGAAAATTCTCAACTAGCTCAAGTGCTTCTTTAAAAAGTGTAAAAGGTTTCAAAATGTTCATCTTTATCATATATTTATAGGGATCTGAGAGCTACATGAAATGCTATGTCAAAAAGAATAAAAAGTATAATGATAAATGAGACTAGTATAGACTGTTGAGAATGTGTCATGCTCTAATAAGTTATGGGGACAATTATTGCCTTTTGATCTGACTCTTTAATATTGGGGTGAGTTCCTTTATATCGAGTGTCTATGGGTGAGTTGAAGGAGCTTAGCCCTCTTATGGGTCAAGTAGAAAGGAATATTGTTGTCAAGTCCTTGGGGGGTCCTTGAATTGCCTTGATGTGAGGATCAAGTTCATATGAGTTTGGGGTTAGATGACTCAATGGTCAGTCAAGCACGATGAGCGAGTTTGATTATTATTGAAATGATCCTTTGTTGTAGCTTGGATGAGTAATTATCATTGATGGCACTTTACCCTAGGCAACGACGAGTGGCTTCTATTGGGTGCTTCTCTTTGGAGCGTGAATCCTAATCCAAATAGTCCGTGTGAACCCTTGGCTTTCCTGTGAAGGCATATGCAATTATATATTTAATTCCCTGATTTACTTCACTCTGTGGTGGGCGAGTGGAAAAATGACAAATGAATTAATAACAAGTATTATTATGGCTACCAAATATTTAAAGGAAAATAAATGTAAATTTGCTGCCCTATTTTTATTGTAGCCTTATTCGTCATTTAGATTCTCCCTTGACTTTAGTCATATCTTACCTCTATAAAAAGCAATCTCGCACTCAAACTTCTCGCACTTCTAATCATTTAGTTGACTCATAGCATATTGCGAGAGTGATAAAATAGACCCCAATGAGCTTTCAATGTCTAGCATGAAATTTGTGAGGGCGGTAATTTACCTTTCAAAAGGTGAGAGAGCCAAGACAAGGACAAGCAACACTTTGGTAGCAGGAAGAAAGGTGCCAATGCGATCCCCCAACCAATCTAGGGATCTATTGAACCTGTCACCCTTCTTCTACGAAGAAGGTGAAGGTGGAGTTGGGTGTGGGCCATATGGTAAAGGCAGCTACTACTTTGCTGACTAAGACTAAGGCACTTCAAAGTCAATCATTGGAGGTGGATAAGTGGCAAGTCAAAGGAGAGTGTCACTCTCCTTGAGCTCTATGAATGTACCCTCGACCATGAGGATTATGAAGCGAGTTGCCCCAGTGGAGGAAATTACTATGGAGGAGTTAGCATTCATGGAGATCATGGCAATATCGGTAGGAACCAAGTTGAATGATCCTCTTAAAGAAGGTAAGAATTAATTTGTGATTCTTGGAGAGGGTCCTGTATGATGGTTAGGCGTCCTCCACTAGCTGAGCCTATTATATGTCTCTCCTCAAGCGAGCTGATGGGTCATCCACCAAGCGAGTTCAATGCATTGGTGTTAATGCAATGGATATATGGCTTATACACTTAGACAACGATCCTCTATAATATAGCATACCGATTCATATACCTGTATTACCTGTTATGTGTTACCTGTATTCTAGAAGCTTGTATTAGGACTAGACTAGGACTCTATAAATATATCTCTGTACTCACACTTAATGCAATGAATACATTTCTTTAGTTTTCTAATACGCTATCATGGTATCAGAGCAGGTCGCTTGTACCTGACATCTTTTCTTTTCGCTTCTCTCCTCTGTTCTGATCCGGTATCCTTTTCCGGTCATCTTCCTTCATCTTTCCGACAACAAATCGTTCTTGTTTTGACATGGACTCTTCTTCAACCTCTCAGACCGAAGAAAGTCAAGAAAAGCTTCTTGAAGAAGCCCTCATCATTCCTGCCTCCCTCAAATTTGTTATCTCCAACATCAAAATCATCGTTCCCGTGCAATTGTCATCGGACAACTACCCAGTTTGGCGATCGCAGGTTCTGAAATTATTAACAGCAAACGGGTTTGCTTCCTATCTCTCTTCATCGACTTCCCCTCCGGCGACGCACAAAACACTTCAAGATGGTAGCAAAGAACTCAATCCAAGACATCAAGAATGGGTTCTTGTGGATCAAAATCTGGCAGCGGCGTTGTGCTCCACTGTGTCTCCTGCCATTCTTTCTTATGTTATTCATTTAACCTCCACATCTACTATATGGCAGACACTTGAAAAACGCCTCCAGTCATCAAATCGATCACGAGTTATACAGCTCAAAAATGAGCTGCATAACGTCCAGATGAAGTCTCAGAGCATGACACAGTATCTGCAACAAATCAAGAACATTGTTGATAACATAAGCTCAGCCGGATCGGAGATTGATCAAGAAGACGTTCTCTTATATACGATGAATGGCTTGCCACCATCGTATAATGCTCTCAAGACCACCATTCGGGCAATGCAATCCCCCATGGACCTCGACACGCTATATTCATTACTTATCACAGAAGAAATAAATCTCCAATCGGAATCTGCTCGTCACAATCTACTTGGAGATTCGTCTACTGCCCTGTACTCCAATCGGGGTCGTGGTCGGCGTGGACGTGCAAGATCGTCGACACAGCCATCCAGATCCACAACTCAAAATGTTCCTCACTGCCAGATATGCAACAAGCGGGGACATCTTGCACACAACTGTTGGCACAGATTAAACATCTCTGTCAATCCTCCTGACCCGATCACTACAAATCCGTCTAACAGAGCGATGGTAGCTGCTACAGACAATGAAAATCCTGATTGGTATCTTGATTCGGGCGCGTCAGCACATCTCACAAACTCGGTGGACAATCTCTCGCAGGCTCAATCCTACACTGGGACTGACTCAATTACAATAAGTGATGGCAGATCTCTATCCATTGCCCACTCCGGCAACGGTATTCTGCCAACACCGTATCGTAAGCTACACCTTAAAAATTTATTTCATGTTCCACATTTATCACATAATCTTCTTTCTATCTCTAACTTGACTCAAGATAATAATGTATCAGTGAACTTTAACCCCTCTGGTTTTGCCATTAAGGATTTGAAGACAAACAGAACATTGCTCACGGGACCAAATCGCAGAGGACTCTATCCAATTCAATCGGCCAACAATAGTAACTACGGCTCCACTGCATTAACCGCTAGTTCCAACATTGCAAATCTCTGGCATCAACGTTTGGGACACCCTCACTCAAGAATTATTCACGCTGTATCTGCCTCCGACAAGAGTCTTAACATCCCGCATAATTTTTCTTTTTGTTCTGCCTGTACGACCTCAAAAGGTCATAGATTACCTTTCTCAAATAAAAATCATCGCACTTCTATACCTCTTGCGATTGTGCATACTGATGTTTGGGGTCCAGCCCCAGTACCTTCTAATCAAGGTTTTCTGTATTACGTAGTTTTTATCGACGACTTCTCTAGATTTACGTGGGTCTTTCCCATGCGACACAAATCTGAAGTCTTTGAAATTTTTCAAAAATTTAAAACCTACGTTGAAAAGCAAACGCAATTTTCAATTAAATGCCTAAGATCTGATGGAGGCATGGAGTATTTAAATAATAATTTCAGGAATTTTCTCAGTCACCACGGCATTGCACATCAAACCTCCTGCCCGTACACACCTGAGCAGAACGGACTGGCCGAGCGCAAGCACAGACATCTTCTTGAAACAACACGAACCTTGATTACCACTGCATCGCTTCCGCCATCACTCTGGCCGGATGCCGTGCTCACGGCTTCGTTCATTATCAACAGGCTTCCTACTGCTATCACGGGTTACAGGTCTCCTCTATCACTGTTATTTCACACTAAACCTGATTATCATTTATTTAAAGTATTTGGGTGTGCCTACTACCCGTGGATTCCGCCAACTCAAAGACACAAACTGGAGTCCAGATCTCGCAGTTGTGTGTTTATTGGATACTCACCCGTCTCAAAAGGCTATAAGTGCCTTGACATTAACACACACAAGGTTTACACATCTCGACATGTGGTATTCAATGAACTTGATTTCCCTTTCAAACAAATATCCTGTTCGCCCTCTTCAACTTCACCTCAGCTTCCTCCGCCACTTCTTGTACCAACCACGCATACATATCCTACCAGCTCCACATTTCCTAGTACTTCAACCAGACCCACATCTACCAAAACAATTCAGCTGTCTGCTACTCCCCCGCAGCAGTCTTCTTCTCAGCATAGCCGAAATATAACTTCTTCCTCCTCTCAGCCTCAGACTCAACCACTCAATTCTATACCACCTACTGCTCCCTGTTCCAATCATCCTATGATTACCAGGAACAAGACAGGTTCTTTAAAACCAATCCAACGGCTTAATCTGCTTCATATGCAAAATTGTTCTCAGTCAGAACAGATATCTGAACCCACTTCGTATACTGATGCCGTGAAATATCCTCATTGGAGAAAGGCTATGGCAGAGGAATTCTATGCACTCCAAAAACAAGGTACATGGGATCTTGTTCCTACTCCTCATCAAAGCCCGGTACTAGGCAGTCGCTGGACTTTTCGAATTAAGCACAAATCAGATGGCTCAATAGCCCGTTTTAAAGCTCGTCTAGTCGCTCAAGGCAACACCCAACAATACGGTTTAAACTACCTTGAAACCTTTAGTTCAGTAGCTAAGTTTCAAACTATAAGAATATTATTTACTATTGCTGTTACTAAC